GGAGGAGGAGTAGGAGTAGGAGGAGGAGTAGGAGTAGGAGTAGGAGTAGGAGTAGGAGTAGGAGTAGGATTAGGAGTAGGAGGAGTAGAAGGAGGAGGAGGAGGAGGAGGATGAGGAGGAGGAGGAGGAGGAGGAGGAGGAGGAGGAGGAGGAGGATGGGAGCGAGGGAGGCTTGCGAAGATGACAATGGAGGACACGAGGGACCTGGAGACAGAGCGGGGGCATGGGCGCAGACGGATGCGAGTGGTAGCGTGGGGGTTGGATTTATCTGTTCATGTGTTCTGTTCGTTCAGTCCGGGTAGATACATGTTTGTATGCAACCCGTGCGGGCGCCCCTTGCCATCCACGAGAGGGGGGCCCGAGCAGGCCTTTAGAGCGTTCGGCGTCCCTTCCCTTCCCTTCCCTCCTCCTCCTTCTCCTCCTCCTCCTCCTCCTCCGCTTCCTCCAGAAGTTTGCCGAGCATCCCCACATCATTGGAAGGTGCAAGACATAATGTTCACCCGCGTTGAAGCACATGGCGCGCACCCTTTGGTCTAGGACTGCGCACTTTCTCGGGCACCTCTGGCCCTGTCCGTCTCCAGCGTTTCGGCGTGTGGCTGGCTATCCTCATCAGGACCTGCCACAACCAATCACACGGGGCAGGCCGACGCTGTCATGAACGACACCTCCATTTCCCACTGTGTGAAACACCATCGTGTGCAACACCCAAATCGCCAGAAGATGTCAAGCGGGCACGCTGCGATAAGCGAAACAACTGCCCCCTCTTTCGTGAGATCGCAGCCTCCAGTCTGATGCGCTGGTGGCCATCCGCCGGGTGGTGATCGTTTTTTGTACTCCTTGTTTTGCCGATCGGCGCGGGCCCTCGCACCTCCCACTCCCCCCCCCATGGAGTGGATCTTGGCTTTTTTTTGGCGCCCGTTTCGAGCAGGTGGCGCCTCCCCCATGGGACGCACGGTCCCAAACCGTCGCACTCAGCAGACGTCCGGAGCCAGACCCACCCCCCCTCCCCCCCTTCTTCCTCCCCGGGGTCGAAGCGCCGAACAAAAAGACGCCCGCGTGCCTCCCTCTTCCTTGAGCGGCCCAGGGGCGTGAGCCACCTGACCTCCGCTGTTGGGCGCTCGTGGGGGCACCTCGCTCGAGAGAGGCCCATCCTGGCCTCCCGAGGCCGTCGGGGCCCGGCTGCCAGACTCGTGCACGGACGCGGCAGCAAAGTCAGAACGCACCTGCGAAGCCCAATTGTCTGCAGGGGCAACGATACGAGCCGGTCGTTGAAAGTGAGTATTTTTGGATGCCCAAATCCTAATCTACTTTGGGCGCCTTCCTACTTCAAGAGTCGAGTGGATTTCCTTCTTTCCTCCTCTCCAGGGGGCGGGTGGAAGCCCAATCTACTTCCAACGCCTTCCTACTTCATGTTTTTACCTACTTCTTCCGACCGGCGTGTAGGGGGGGCTAGGCATAGGGTGGATGTATCGACCCCCAATCGCCCACTGATCGCTGATAGGGGTCCGATAGCCCCAACCTGCCCAGGAACGTGTGGATTCACCATCGGAGGCCTATCGCCGATCTATCGGCGATGTATCGCCGATTCCAGGTCGATGCATCCCCCCCTATGCCAGCTCCCCCCTATCGTTGCCTCTCATTTTTGAGGCGACCATTGCTACTTCCCTGACTGCTGGGGCCGAACGCCAGAGACGGCTGGTCTCAAAACGACAAGGTCGCGTGGATGTTGAGTCTCCACTCCGAAGTCGAGCACTCGCGAGACCTTTCGGCTGATAAGCAGAAGTTTGCCGAGCATCCCCACATCAGTGGAAGGTGCAAGACATAATGTGCACCCGAGTTGAAGCACATGTCGCGCACCCTTTGGTCTAGGACTGCGCACTTTCTCGGGCACCTCTGGCCCTGTCCGTCTCCAGCGTTTCGGCGTGTGGCTGGCTATCCTCATCAGGACCTGCCACAACCAATCACACGGGGCAGGCCGACGCTGTCATGAACGACACCTCCATTTCCCTCTGTGTGAAACACCATTATATGCAACACCCAAATCGCCAAAAGATGTCAAGCGGGCACAGTGCGATGAGCGCAGACAATTGAACTGTCCTGCGTCAACCTGAAACCTGGCTTCTTGGCCTTCAGAGAAGGGAGGAAATAACTCCTCCTCCTCCTCCTCCTCCTCCTCCTCCTCCTCCTCCTCCTCTCGGTCAGAGCGCGGGGGCGGCGCGGGCCCGAGCCGTTGGCAGAGCCGCCCGGACAGGCGGGCTGGCAGGCCCCGCGGGCGCCGTGCGTATAGGGCGGGAAGGCCTCGCGCTCGCCGTGCAGACGGGCGTGGCCAGATCCTCTGCGGGCGGCGGTGGTATACTCATCCTCCTCCCTCCTCCTCCTCCTCCTCCTCCTCCTCCTACTCCTCCTCCTCCCTTCTCCTCCTCCTCCTCCTCCTCCTCCTCCTCCTCCTCCTCCTCAATCGAGGCTTGGCGGCGGCCAAGCCTCGATTGGCATTTCACCTGCTTCGAGGGGCCCTGGATTCCTTGTCCAAGGGTTCCTCATCCAACGCCTTCACCGTAATACCGATCCCCGCTGTGATACTTCGAGGTGCACGCAGACCTGCACTCGAGCGGCTGAAAGTAAGACGCGGGGCCGACTGCGCGCTCAATGCCACAGCGGGGTCGAATGCGCGGACATTCGCGCGTAAGATGCACGAGTAAGGTCGCGTCTTAGCGCTCTCTTTTCCACGCGGTGTGCTGTGAAAGCGGCCCGCGTAAGCCATCGCATAATGTCGCCGCGTCCTCGTGCGTAAGACCTCCCGTCGCTTCGCTTCTCAATTGGCGTATCATTTAGGTGTAGTGGTTGATGTGGGCGCAGCCGTAGAACTACGGTTTAGAAGCAGACGTACAATTGCAAGTAGAAGCAGACGCTGTGCATGCTTTCATCCTCGCAGGCGGTTGACGTACACGCGGGCTGGGCCAGTCAGGGACAGCATGGGGAAGGTGTGTGGGTCTTGGGGCGCGGTTTTTTCAGATGCACACTTTTTTTTCATCCCGAGGTTCAGCTGCATGCAGGGCTGGCGCCCGACGATGGAGGCCACGCCAGCGCCAATGCCAGATCGATTCGCACTCTGCCACAGCAAGGGGGATGCAAGGCAGGTGCACTTACCCCACACCTCATCCCCTGGACGTGCAAAGAGGGGCTGCAGCGGATGCTATGCCGCAGTGGGAGGCTGGGGTAGGTGTACCTTCTTTTGCTCCCCAGCGAAGCGAGGGTCGATTAGATATTGGCGCCGGCGCTCTGGCATGGTGCAGGACGCGCACTTTGCCGCGCCCTCAGAGGCGAGGAAGTGGGGGCGACAATTGGCTTCTCCTCCTCCTCCTCCTCCTCCTCCTCCTCCTCCTCCTCCTCCTCCTCCTCCTCCTCCCCCTCGACGCCAGCCTGGCGGCATGTCAGAAAAGGGAGGAAGGTATGTGACGGCCTTTGAAGCCTTAGCCAAGACCATCTCCGACGACGACAGCGATTGCAGTGATGTCGTAGACGACCATGACCGTCTTCTTGCCGAAGACGAGGATGTACTGAGGGCAGAGGAGGATGATGATGAGAAGGAGGAGGGAGGACGATGAGGATAATCATAATAATCTGGTATGGGCGACAAGAGGAAGTGAGGGAGGAACAGGAGGAGGGAAAGGAGGAAGATGATGAGGAGGAGGAGGACGACTCGGAGACGGTGGAAAAATGAGGGGCATGACGAAGACGAGGAGCTCCTCCTGCTGTTTGTGCTCGCCGCTGGTCGCGTTCTCTCCGCGAGATCTGCGATGCCTGTGGAGGTTTCATTCTTTGGACCGCTCGCTCGGAACGTCGGAGCTCGCCGCCTGAACCCTCTGCCGGCCGCTGCCGCTGCACCCCTCCTGTCAGGGCCGCCACCTCCCGCAGGGAGGGCCGCCGCCGCGCAGCCGGCTCCCGCCAGTCTGTGCCATCCGCTCCTCCTCCTCCTCCTCCTCCTCCTCCTCCTCCTCCTCCTCCTCCTCCTCCTCCCTCTCCCTCCCGAAGAAGGCCAGGAGAAACGGCATGAGCACAAACTCGCAAAGTTCCTCGCGGATGTCTCGGGTCGGCGCTGGGCCCCCTGGCGGCGCCTCTGGAGCCGCCCCTGGCGCGCTCGCGCCGGGGAGGGGGGTCCAGCGTCAGGTGTGGGCGTGACGTCCTTCAGCAGTTCAAGCTGTGCCAGCGAGCAGCACGCCTGCTTGGTGCTTTCCTGCCTGCAGCGCGTGCGTGCGTGCGTGCGTGCGTGCGTGCGTGCGTGCGTGTGTGTGTGTGTGTGTGTGTGTGTGTGTGTGCGTTTCGCGCGCGCGCGCTTCCTGCGGTGTTGTTCCGCCCTCTGACTCTGGCTATGGTTTTGTGGAGAAGAGAAGCAGGGAGGCACAAGCAGGCGACGACGAACGCGCAGGCGGGAGGCCAAGGCCGGCAGGGCGACGCAGGCGGGCAGGGGCAGAGGCAAGACAGCCGGGCCGCGGTCGCGGTCGCGGCCCCTGCGCTGATGGCGATCACCTCGAGCATCCTTCCGCGGGCGGATGTGCTCGTGTCCTTGGCGCCTCCCGTCCAGCCTGTCCAGGGAGTGGCCCTGGCGAGCAAACGGCCGAGCCATCCTCAGCTTTTGATTCAGCGTGCTCCGCGAGAGGGTCACGTCATTGGGGCGAGGACGCCACAGCAACCCAATACCGACGTCAAACACGGTGGTGATGAACTCAGCCCCTTTCGTGGAAAACCGACATCGAAATAGCATGACCTCCAGTAGCGGTGCCCTCAGCCTTAGCAGGGGCACAGGTCGTTCATCCAACCACGGCGGCACGCTATTTTTTCTGCACGCGTTCAGCCCCAGTGTCCCGAACACGTTCATCCAGCTGTCTGCAGTGAATGAACCCACATAGCCAGCGCAGCAGCGCAGAAGGGAAGAGGCTGAGTTCAATATGCCCTCCCGTTCAGTGCCCTAAACGGTCTCATGTAGGTCTTGAGTATACTTTCTCCTTCTATCCTCAGTCTCGTTGTCCCCGTCCTTCTTCCCCCTTCCTCCCCATCTCTTTCTCCCCGAGTATCCCAGTTGAAGCGTTTTGGGTGGCTGCTTGGGGACTTCTTTGGGACATTTTGTCAGTACCTTCTGGGGGCCTGTTGGGTGCCCGCAAGGGATCTCGGAGCCGTCTTGTGCGCAATGGTCTACCGAGCTCTGTTCTTGGAGCCTTCTTTGTGGCCGTCTTTTGCCGTCATGAAGCTTCTTGCTGAAATTCTGAAATTCACTCGGGGCGATTTGAGGCTGGACGACTTCGGAAGACAAATGCAAAGAAATTCCAAAAAGGCAGATGAAGACAGTGCTTGCGCTGACGGGCTCATCTTTGTGGCCTGAGGAGTTGGCCCGCCGGGCCGCACTTTGCGTTGGAGCTTGGGTTCCTATGGGTTCCAAGTGGTGGCCGTGCCACTCTGTCTGGTTGCCGCTTGGGTTTCTACGGGCTCATATGGGCGTCTGTGCTGCGCTGTCCCGTGGCCGCTTGGGGTCCCATGGGCGGCTGTGGACGGCGATGCCGCGCTGTCTGGTGGCCGCTTGGCTTACGATGGATGCGCCTGGGTGGTTGCTGCCAGTGTCCAGTGGTTCATTGGGTCCTATAATCGATAGTTGGCACTCCATAGCGTGCACCGCACCCCAGATATTGCACATTTGCACATCGAAGGGTGCACCCCACAGGCTGCCACGCCGTAGGCTGCACCGCTCAGTTCCCTCATGGAGGAGGAGGAGGAGGAGGAGGAGGAGGAGGAGGAGGAGGAGGAGGAGGAGGAGGAGGAGGAGGAGGACGTGGAGGAGGAGGACGAGGAGGAGGAGGAGGAGGAGAAGGAGATTGTCATTGCTTCCTTTTGTCTTTTCTCGGGGCGGCGCTTCTCGCCCCGTCTCCCTTGGGACACTGATCGTGGGACCCTATCACGGGAGCCCATCGGAAGAGCCCCCCCCCACACACACTAGGGTTCCATACGATAGAGTCCCACGCGATGGAGTGCCACGCGATGGCGTCCCATGAGATGGTGCCCCACACGATAGGGTTTCATAAAGTTTTCATGCAGGGGGTGCACCTGCATCGGTGCACACATTGTTTTGAACTGGTTACATCGCAGGTAGCGCGTCCGGATCCCTCCTCCTAAATGAGATTAGGGCCTCGCCCCCGACCGAGTCGGGGGTTATCGGTGCCCCTTCGCGAACTGTTTGTCCATAGCAATATTGCACGATCGTTCATCCTAGATGTCAAGTGATATCTTCCTAGTCAAGCCTGTAACGATTCCCCCCTCGTCATCTCTCCAAAGTGTTCCAAGGCGGTGTATGTGCGTGGATCTGGCAAGTGCGTTTTGTATCAACTCCTGTGTGCCCACATTTGTGCGACCCCAGCTCGCATTCAAACATCATGGGTTGCCTCGCAGCCTAAGACACAGCCGTTCAACAGCTACCAGAAGTTGCCATCCCTTTGCGCGCATGAAGACCATAGCTTTTTTGCCCATCTGTCAACTAAGAACATGCGGGCCACGCGAGCGCGCATGTCGAACACATGGAATCACCATTGCGCACCTCACAGCCCTGTCAAATAGAACAATAGAACTCCGCGCGCGCACGTCGAACCCGTTCCTGAACCAAAAGAAGTTTCAAGCATTTTCAGGCAGAGCTGCTCAACACGTACAGATACCCAACGGTTTCCAATGAAGAGTATGACAGGGGAATGCGGAGCTTCTGCGCTCGCGCATTTCCTCATGCACCATCGCCACCATCGTCATCACCATCACATCACTACCGTCGTCGTCATCATCAGCTCCATCACAAGCATCGTTATCGTCGATGCCGCTCTCGCCATCATCGCCATCTTCGCCATCGTCATCCCCCTCGCCATCATCATCATCATCATCATCATCATCATCATCAGCATCATCATGATCATTATCATCATTATTATCATTACCATCGTCATCATCATCATCATCATCATCATCATCATCATCATCATCATCATCGTCATCGTCATCAGCATCATCATCATCAATCTCATCATTCGCATCGCTATCATCATCATTATCATCATCATCATCATCATCACGGCGGACGTCGAGTGAGCCGAGAAGATCTTCCGGGAGGCGATCCGCATCCAGTCATATCGCGTGGCGTGTGGGCTCGCTACAGCAGTCTGGGCAATCTGTTCATCGATCACAGGAAGGATGTCGACGGAGCCGAGAGTGCCTTCCAGGAGGCGATCCGCCTCCAGCCAAACGGCGCAGAATTTCAATGAGAATTGGACAACGTGCGCATCGATCACAAGACGGACGTCGAGGGAGCCGAGAAGGCCTTCTGGGATGCGATTCGCATCCAGCCAGATCACGTGCGGGCTCCATACAGTCTGAGCAATGTGCTTATGGATCACAGGAAGGACGTCGACGGAGCCGAGAGGGCCTTCCAGGAGGCGATCCGCCTCCAGCCAGGCGGCGCAGAGTTCCAAGTAGAATTGGGGAATTGGTTCATCGATCACAAGGCAAACGTCGAGGGAGCCGAGAAGGCCTTCTGGGAGGCGATTCGCATCCAGCCAAATCACGTGCGGGCTCACTACAGTCTGAGCAATCTGGCCATCGATCACAAGAGGGACGTCGACGGAGCCGAGAGGGCCTTCCGGGAGGCGATCCGCCTCCAGCCAGACGGCGCAGAGTTTCATTTTACATGGGGCAATCTGTTCATCGATCACAGGAAGGACGTCGACGAAGCCGAGCGGGCCTTCTGGGAGGCGATCCGCCTCCAGCCATACGGCGCAGAGTTTCAATGAGAATTGGGCTGTCTGCTCATCGAGCACAAATGTGATACCAAGGGGGCCGAGAACTCCCAGGAGGCGGTTCGACTCCAGCCAGATCACGTGTGGGCTCACTACAGTGTGGGCAATCTGCTCATCGATCACTGGAAGGACGTCGACGGAACCGAGAGGGCCTTCCAGGAGGCTATCCGCCTCCAGCCAGATTTCACAGGAGTTTCAGATCGAATAGGGCAACCCGCAATTTTCTCATCGATCACATGACGGACGTCGAGGGAGCCGAGACGGCATTCCGGGAGGCGATTCGCATCAAAGCAGATCACGTGTGGACTCACTTCGGTCTGAGCAATCTGCTCATCGATCACAGAAAGGCGTCGACGGAACCGAATGGGCTTTACAGGAGGCGATCCGCCTCCAGCCAGACGGCGCAGAGTTTCGTGCCACATTGGGCTGTCTGGTCATCGATCACAGGACCGACGTCGAGGGAGCCGAGAGGGCCTTTTGGGAAGCAATTCGCATCCAGCCAGATTTCACAGCGTTTCATGCCAAATTCGGCCGTGTGCTCATCGATCGCAAATGTGATATCAAGGAAGCCGAGAGGGCCCTCATTGAGGCGATTCGACTCCAGCCAGACCACGCAATCTCTCATTTCAAAATAGGTTGTCTACTCATCGATCACAGGACGGACGTCGAGATAGCCGAGACGGCTTTCCATGAGGCGGTTCGCATCAAGCTAGACGGTGCAAGGTTTTATTTTAAACTGGTATGTTTGCTCATCGATCATAGAAGGGCGTCGAGGGAGCCGAGAGGCGCTTTCGGGAGGCGATTCGCATCCAGCCAGATGGCGCAAGGTTTCACTTCGATTTGGGCTGTCTGCTCATCGATCACAAGACGGACGTCGAGGAAGCCGCGAGGGCCTCTCGGGAGGCGATTCGCACCCAGCCAGATTTCACATAATTTCATGCCAAATTGGACCGCTTGCTCATCGATCACACATATGAGACCAAGGGAGCCGAGACGGCCTTCCTCGAGGTGATCCGACTCCAGCCAGACCACGCAGTATTTCATTTCAACATGGGCTGTCTGCTCATCGATCTCAGGAAGGACGTCGGGAGAGCCGAGACGGCCTTGCAGGAGGCGGCTCGCATCCAGCTCGACGGCGCAGGGTTTCAGTTCAACTTGGTATGTCTGCTCATCGATCACAAGACGGACGTCGACGGAGTCGAGAGGTGTTTTCGGGAGGAGATTCGCATTTGCCAAATCACGCGTAGGCCCACTATAGTCTGGGCTGTTCGCTCATCGATCACAGGAAGGACCCCGACGGAGCCGAGAAAGCTTTCTGGAAAGCGAAGGGCGTCGACGGAGTCGGACCTGCCCTCCAGAAAGAGATCCGCCTGAACCACGATTTGCCTAGTAGGGCGTCGATGTGGGGACGAGGGAGAGGCCGTCGCGGCGACGAGGAAGCGACTGAGTTGGCCAGGGAGAAGGTGACAGATGCCACAGCGGCCGTCCGCCAGGTGCTCAAGAACGCCCAGGTTGGGGGGTCGTCGTTCGTGGCTTTAGAGAGGTTTGCAGGCACGTCAGAGGCAAGAGCGCACAGGTGGTCTTCGTCGCGGAGTCCTGCGAGGAGCAGGGCGAGATAAACGTCGTACGGGGGTTGCGTCAGGAGGAAAGGGTCATCTTAGTCAAAGCGGTGCCGGCTACAAATACATGGTGGGGCACATGGTCGAGTGAAGTTCCGACTTTGCTGGCCCGCAGCGGCTCCGATCTTTGGCGCCCCAAGAGAATGTTTGCAGTGTGGGCCAGCGTTTTTGTTCGTCAAGACGCCGAATTAGATTGGGCATCTACCTGCTGTACTTTGCATTTCTATGCGTTGACACTCCCCCCGCACAGGTCAGCACTTTCCTGGCGATGCTTTCCCTGGCATGCAGAAGTGCGGTCGGTCCCACAGGCGATGGCGCAGAAAAACGTAAAATTGAAATCATCATCGCCATCATCATCGCCGCCGTCGTCATCATCCTCATTATCACCACCACCACCATCATGGTCATCATCGTCGTCGTCATCGTCATCGTCATCCATCGTCATCGTTATCGTCGTCGTCATCGTCTTTGTCATTGCCATCGCCATCGCCATCGTCACCGCCGCCATCATTACACTGATCATCGTCTCCTTCATCATCAGCATCACCAGCATCATCACCATCATAAGCACCATCATGATCATCACCAGCAACAACATCATCGACATCATCGTCGCCGTCATCATCAGGACCACCATCGCCATCGGCATCGCCGTCGTCGTCTTCATGAGCTCCGCCATCAGCATCGTCATCGGCATCGCCAAGTCGTCGTCGTCGTCGATGCCGTCGTCCCCATCATCGCTCGCCATGGGTATAACCATCAGCAGCACAATACCTTACCCTGCATGAGAAGGGTCCGCGGGTCATCGTCCCACTTGCGTTTCGCGAGTAAGTCCAGTTAACAGCTGCACTCTGGGCCCTCGGAGTCTTGCAGAGAAATTGCCGTTGCGTTGGTTGGACGTTTGTTCGAGCAGTGGAGATGGTGACGCGCGGATGCCCACAGCTCTGCATTTTGGAACGTGCATGTAAGCCTAGGGGTGAATTCAACTGTGTCCCAAGCGTTGCATGCACCAGCGGGGCTCTTATCCCGGTCCAAACTAATTGGGTGGGTTTATTGGTTTTCGCACACCCTTCACAGTCCAGGTCGGCTATGAGCAGTGTCGCTCCTTGCGAGACTGACTGGGCTCCTGACGACGTACGAGCTGGGTCGAGCGCCCTAGCAAAACGAGATGGGGCCCACCCGCCATCTCTGCGAAGTTCGCTGCCTAGGATTTTCCTTGTCGCGTTGTTGCTTTGACATTTATGTGTTTTTGTGCGGGTGTCGTTTATTGTTTTTTGGGAGCGAGGGGGGCGGGGGGGGGGCAGAGGGGTAGAACGCCTTGTGACTTAGCACCTCAGCTCTCTCCCCCCGTAGGACGTTCTGGACGGTGACGCCGAGGCTGCTGCCGCTGCTGCTGCGAAGTACGACGATGGTGACGGCGAGCATGACTGTGACGGCGGCGGCAAGTGCGATGCCGCCGTTTGACCCCGCTCGTGACGGCGGTGCAGACAAGGCCCTCGGCAGCCTCGAGGGCGAGTGGACCGACACTGCCGCCTTTGGGGTGATGGACGGGCACGGGGGCACGCAGGCTGCCCTCACTTGTGCTGGCGTCGTTGTCGTCGTCGTCGTCGTCGTCGTCGTCGTCGTCGTCGTCGTCGTCGTCGTCGTTATCGTCGTCGTCGTCGCCGCCACCGCCGTCGTCGTTGTCCTCGTCTTTGTCGTCGAGGGAGGAGGAGGAGGCGGAGGAGGGGGAGAAGGAGGTGGAGGTGGATGAGGAGAAGGAGGATGAGAAGGAGGAGGAGAAAGAAGAGGAAGAGGAGGGAGGAAGGGTGAGGACGACAAGGTAGGCGGGAGGAGGGAGGGGGACACGCAGCAGACAGCCCCTGCAAAAGGACCCTACTTAAGAGGGCCCCGGAACCATTCCAGAGAGCCCCAACTGGGCCCCAGAGGACCTTAAGAGGCCCGCCAAGCCTTCAACTTTGATGCCCGACCCAACAATTTACTCCAAACATGGCAGGAGCGCCAGTGGATCAGTGGATCCCCCAGCACTTGAAGAAGGTGTGCTTGTGGACCTTTCCTCTCCCCTTCTCAAGGGGGAATGTTTTTATTTCCCCCTTTTCCTTCCTTTTAAGATAGCGAGGACATGTGTGCAGTCATTTGTTGTCGCGCTGTTCGAGGGCGCGATCGGGATGGCCGTCATGAAGGGCAGCGTTGCTCATCTTCTCTCTTCTGCTGCGTGCTCCTGCTGTCTCTTCATGGATCGTCCCGCACTTCCATGCCCGCCTGCCCCTTGCTGGCCAGTGTCGCCTCCCCTTCCAAGAGGGGTGGCCGGGGGGAGAGCATGCTACTTCGCATGAGTGTAATGCCAGTGAATGGAGGATGAATTGGATCCGTCAGTGGACCAGTCTTGTGCACTGACGTACAGTCGGGGCCCTGAAGAAGGAACCCTTTTGGTTGGGGAGGGGCACCGCGTTCCTTAAGTGTTTCACAGCTTGCCTCAGGTTTTCCTTATGTTTTCGATAGGAAATCGAAGTTTAACTTATGGAAAAGAGGGGCCTCGTTCCTTATTAGGGTTCCTTAGGTCAAGCCCCCGACTGTAGAACCTAGGATACTTCTTGTTGGTAGTAGGCCAGCTTATGATGCCAACCCATGCCCACAGCGCCCCATCTGCAGGGACTCTCATCCCCTTAATGATGGCGGGATGGGGAGACGGTCCGCCGCCCCTTACGCTGCACGTGCTGCGCAGGGTCAGTGGGGATTCGAGTTGAATTCTATGAGGAAGCCCCTCGTCCCACCCCCTCCTCCCTCTTGCCCCGGCGAAGAGGGGGTCCTGTACCCCCCTCGACCTCTGCGTCGGGCGGGGCGGGGCGGGGCGGGCAGCGGCGCGTCGGAGGGGGTGCCAGGTTTCCAGGGGGGCCATGGCGAGGGTGTTCAGGTTTGGGGTTCGGGCTGAGGTTTTTGGCTCGTGCTCGTGCTTGGGCTTCGGGCGCTGGGGTTTGGGACTACGTAGGGTCGGAGCGTAGGCGTAGCGTTATAGTCAGATTCGGGCTATGGTGTGAGGGTTACGGATCAGGGTTTGCGATTCGGGTTTGTACTGAGGGTTCGGTTTTACCGTTCGGGTGTTTGGTCATATTTATCGTGTTAGGGCTAGGTGTAGTGTTCAGGGCTCGGGGTAGGGTGTTAGGGTTCTGAGTTCGGGTGTCAAGGGTGTTAGGTTGTGAGGATGTTAGCTGCCCAGGGTGATGGCTTTGGCGTTAGGGTTTAGGTTTTGGCTGTGACGGTTCGCCTCAATGTTTAGGGTTCGGATTCTGGTGTTCGGGTTAGGGTTTCAGGGGTAGCGTTTACGGTTCGGGATTCGGGTTGTATTTGGCCTCGAGGGTTTGGGCTTGGGTGTAAGATGTTAGTGGGTAGGGTTTGGGTCTTGGGGCAGGGATGTTATTGTTATCGTTGGTATCGTGTTCGTGGTTGTGGTTGTGGTGGTTATTGTTGTTGTTGTTGTTGCTGGTGTTTTTGTTGTTTTTGGTTTTGCTATTTGTGCTGCTGTTGTTGCTGTTGTGCTTGTTGTTATTCTTTTCCTTGCTGTTACAGTTACGGTTGTTGTTGCTGTCATTGTTGTTGTTGTTGTTGTCCTCGTTGTTGTTGTTGAATACTCATTTCGAAAGAATAATAATTGTTTATCTCCGGAAACGGTTCCGCGCGCTCTCGCCCCGACGCCACCCACACGTTCTCTGAAAGCGAGGCTCCCGCTCGAGCGTTGGCTTCAGCCTAAATGTGGGCCCTTGGAGGCCCAGCTACGACAACAACGGCTCCCGCTCGATACATCCTCACAAGTTACCCCGAGACACCCTGGCCAGAGAGGCCCCCGAACTCAGGAGCGCTCTCGCTCGAGACTTCCTCGCAATTCAATTAAGTTGGCGGAGGTCCAGCCACTACGACAAGGTCTCCTGCTCGATACTTCCTCACGATTTACTCCGAGAGCCTCTGGCCAAGAAGGCTCCCGAGCTCAGGAACGGCGCTCTCGCTCGAGACTTTCCCGTAATTCAGGCAAGTTGGTGGAGGCCCAGACACGGCGACAAGGGCTCCCGTTTGATATTTCTCCGTAGGTATTTTCCGAGATCCCCTGGTCAGAGAGGCCCTCGAATTCAGGAACGGCTCTCTCGCTCGAGACTTCTTCGCACTTCAGTCAGTGGCCGACAAGTAAGAGATTCCCCCCGAAAGGGGTTGCAATCGAAGACGAAGTGGGCGGGTATCGAGGGTTGGGGTATACGGAATGCAAGACACGCGTGCCAGTAAGAGCGAGCAGTCTTATAATGATTGTTGTTGTTGTTGCTGCTGTTGTTGTTGTTGTTGTTGTTGTTGATGTTATGATTGTTGTCGTGGTTGGCATTTTCGTTGCTGTTGTGAAGGCTCTTCTTGTTGTTGTAGTTGTATAGGTAGTTGTAGTTGTTGTTATTGTTATTGTCGTTGTCGTTGTTGTTGTTACTGCCGCTTTCTGCTGCTGCTGCTGCTGTTGTTGTTGTTGTTGTAGAATATTCATCTTTAAGAATAATAGTTGTTTATCTCCGGGAACAGTTCCGCACGCTCGCGCCTCGACGCCACCCACATGTTCTCTGAAAGCGAGGCTCCCACTCGAGCGTTGGCTTGAGCCTAAATGTGGGCCCTTGGAGGCCCAGCTACGACAACAACGGCTCCCGCTCGATACATCCTCACAAGTTACCCCGAGACACCCTGGCCAGAGAGGCCTCCGAACTCAGGAACGGTGCTCTCGTTCGAGACTTCCTCGCAATTCAATTAAGTTGGCGGAGGCCCAGCCACTACGACAAGGTCTCCTGCTCGATACTTCCTCACGGTTTACTCCGAGAGCCTCTGGCCAAGAGGGCCCCCGAACTCAGGAACGGCGCTCTCGCTCGAGACTTCCCCGTAATTCAACTAAGTTGGCGGAGGTCCAGCCACTACGACAAGGGCTCCCGTTCGATATTTCTCCATCGGTATTTTCCGAGAGCCCCTGGCCAGAGAGCCCCCCGAACTCAGGAACGGCTCTCTCGCTCGAGACTTCTTCGCACTTCAGTCAGTGGCCGACAAGTAAGAGATTTCCCCCCGAAAGGGTTTGCATCGAAGACGAAGTGGGCGGGTATCGAGGCTTGGGGTATACGGAATGCAAGACATGCGTGCCAGTAAGAGCGAGCAGCCTTAAACTGATTGTTGTTGTTGTTGTTGTTGCTGCTGCTGTTGTTGTCGTGGTTGTTGTTGTTGTTGTTGTTGTTGTTGTTGTTTTTTTTGTTTTTGTTTTTCCTCTTATTGTTGAACTCTCATTACTGAAGGATAATTATTGTTGATCGCCCCCCCCTCCGGTGACCATTGTGTTTTTCAATTGAAATGTTTCCCCAGGGGGTCGCATCCTGTTTTTTATCAGGGAAAATCACGGGGTTCAAATTGGGCCCCTGGCCCCTGGCTTACAATACAACGGTTCCTGTTTGATACTTCTTTACAATTTCTTCCCAAATCGTGCTTTCGCGCGGGACTTCCTCACAATTCATGTACGCATCGCGCTCTCGCGTGGGACTTCCTCGCAATTTATTCAGACGATGCTTCGGCGCTCAGGAATCACGATCTCGCTTGGGCTTTTCTCACGAATTACTTGGGAATGGTGCTATCGTTCGAGACTTCCTCGCGATTCATGCAGGACCCACGCTTCAGCAACCCGCCTGCTCGACCTGGTCGCCTGGGCCCGCCTTCCTTACCTGCCCGCTATGGGTCTGCCCACCCGATCTGCCCGTCTGGTTCTACCACTTGTTTTCTGCTCCTTGTCCCCCTCCTGCTGATTTCTTTCGTGCTCTATCTTTCTTCCTCCCCCTTCCACCCGTCCTCTCTTCCCTTGTTTTAGGCGCTGCACTAAATGCACGTGGCAGGCAAGGAAGATATACCCCCAAGGGGGTACGATCGAAGACGACGAGGGCGGGTACCGAGGGCTTGGGATGTACCTTGTCGCTTCATTGCATCCGTTCTCTCTTCCCCTGCCTTAGGGGCTTCACGGGGTACAGTCGAAGACGAGAAAGGTGGGTATCGAGGTCTGGGTGTTACGTGTTGAATTGTACCAGGACAGATAAGAGCGAGCAGTCTTCAACGGATTATTGTTGCTGTTTTCCTTGTTGCTGTTGTTGTTGTTGTTGTTGTTGCTGTTGTTGTTGTTGTTGCTGCTGCTGCTGCTGCTGTTGTTGTTGTTGTTGTTGTTGTTGAACATTATTTATTCTAAAGAATAATTATTGTTGGGCCCCCTGGTGCGCGCCCCCCCTGCGCCGCCTAGGCCGCAGCTACATTTTCATCATTTTCGTGAGGAAGCCTCAGAAAAGAGGGTGTGTACAGGATCCGGTTGTTTTGTTGTAATCCGCTTTCCCTTGCAAAAAACAATAGAAAATGACATTTCTTGTTCTAATATAATCAAATTTCAAGAATCCCTTGCAAAAAATAAGGTAAAGTGGACATTCGCGCGCGCAAGACGAAATCCTTCCAAAACCTTAGTGTTCGCAGCGATTTTAACATAAAAACATCAAAAAACCAATGGTTTTTCAACAAAAATTGTCAAAATCT